AGATACAACTGTTATAGCTTAAAACAATGATTTGATACAAATATGTGCACTTTGAGTTGGAAAAGTAGAATGAAAGAGAATCGGTAATATGGCAGGCATGGCTAAGATAGAAATAGCCTAAGAAAGCAGAATGGCATTAGATAATTTTGTGGATTTAATTTTTGAAACTTACTGATTAGGATCATAGTTTATCTCATGATAGTGAAATTCAAAGCTTAGTGTTAGTATCTACATATAAAAGTTGTTACGAGAGCAGTTTCCTTTTAAAAGGAATCCTTTAAGGAGGAGTTTTATATTTTACTGCAAATTCTTGTTATAAGGAAATTTGCTTATCTCTATTGTGGAAAGTTCTTTCTTTCTTTCTTTCTTTCTTTTTTTTTTTTTTTTTTTTTTTAATTATTTTAACTAACTATAAAAGAATATGCAAGAATCAGGTGAAGAAATTAAATTTACTAATGTGGAGATGATACTTTAAAGCATGGGTGTCAAAAGCGCGGCATAATACGCAAATAATGAAAGTATTTAAATTCACACATTTTTATTAAAAAAATAAATGTTTGGATTTGATTCATATATATTCGATTTGTTGACATTTATTTTAAAATAAAAATATCTTAGTATGTCATGATGTATTAAAACCCTCTGCATACAGCTCCCGCTATTCCACAGGATGTGAAATCTGTCTCGTAATACGTGTTATGTGAAAATGGTGTGCGTAAGTTAATTTCTCTTATTTTCAATACATAGCCCGCTTTTTCTCCATGTAGGCTAAGAATATTGTAATATTCATATTTCATGTCTCGTTGCACCTAGATGGCGCTACAGGTTTATATGATTGTAAAGAAGTACTATAAGAGTATGACTAAGGCAGGGGCATACGGGACAGTTGTCCCAAGCCCCCACCATCAGAAAAGGGCCCCCAAATCAAACAGAAAGTTTATTTTATGTTTCCTTCTGTAATGAACTTTTTTAAATAAAATATCAGATAAAAAATATGTCATACTATGACTAACAAGAGGCAGAACCAGATGCATTTATGTTATGAAGACGATGCAGAAAGCATTGAGAAAGCTTTTTAGCCTATTCTCTAAGTGCATAGGACTTGTGTACGGTATTTTTCGTTAATTAATTTAAACTGCTAAAAAAGTCTTTACATTTTCTAATTATAAATTTAAATATAGTATTTTTGTCAAATTTTGGCTCTTCAGATGTGCTATATCCTTTTAATGATGGACATAGAATTGCCAAATAATCAATAAAATGGATAGAACGATATTTCGTCCTGACCGCTGGGGGGGGCAGCTTTATAGCTATTTTAGGTTCTAGTCAATTTTTTTGTTATATATCTATAATGAGGTGAAAAATTTAAATACCTCCATAAAATTTGGTTCTTTATTACTGAAGTAGTGAAACAGAGGGGGAGCCCCAAAGAAGTTTCTGCTCAGGACCCAATTAGGCTAAGTTGGGCCCTGAGTACTGTTGCTTCTTTTATTCTTGGCGGGAACTGTCTTTGTCATTTGCGGGACCAGAATTTCAGGTTTATAAATAATAAAAATACATAATTAGAAGTAATATTATTAGCTGTACAAATTAGTTAGCTTGTAGTTCAATTTATACTTTTGCAATTCACAAAAGTTCACAACTTGTAAAATATTTAACTACATTCTAAAGCCGTTCCATGTGGTATGTTTTACCACACATCAGAATTTATCAGAATATGTTTTGAATTATGTGTGTATCCACTCGATTTTGTATTTCCAAAAATAATCAACTGTTAATTGTCAATGTCTTTTTACCCTCGTTAAACTTTTAAAAATTTTAAATATGTATACAAATTTTCGATGAATTACAATATTTGTATGCAGTATATTGCATTGTATTTTAAGTTCCTAATTCTTGTATGAAATTCTTTAAAAGGTATGATTAATTCGTATTCATTATAGATATTTGCTTATAAAATAAAGATATATAATTTTTTTTAGACAGCCTTCATGTCATTAAAAAAACAAGAGAAAAAAAATTGAAAATGAAAATATAAAAAAGATTAATGAAAACTGGACGGAGAAATACTTTTTTATTGAGGAGAATAGTAAAGCGCTTTGCTTAATGTGTAGGGGACTTTGTGGTAGTTTTTAAAGACTACAATGTGAAACGACATTATATAGTCAAAAGCATGCCGCAAAATATGATTTATATCTCACCATTTGCCATAAAGGTAAAATAACAGAACTAAAAAAAGGGCTGTCATCTGAACAATTTTTTTTTTTTAAAGACAGCTACTTAAAATAATAACATTGCAAAAGCAAGTTATGTCATAGCAAATTTAACAGCAAAAAATTCAAAATCCTTTATTGATAGCGAATTTATTAAAAAAATGTATGGAAAGCATAGCAAACATAATTTGCCCTGAAAAAAAGTTGGATTTTTCTAAAATCAGTTTATCACACCAAACTATAGCAACAAGAATTGAAGAGTTGGGGAATTCAGTTGAAAAGTCTTTAAAAAGCAAATGTATCAATTTTATATTTTATTCATTAGCCATGGACGAAAGCACTGATGCTTCTGATATGGCACAATTGGCAATCGGAAGAAATGATTGCTTTAGTATCGTTAAAGGGCAGAACCAAGTCTGTAGATTTATTCGATGCATTAAAAATGACAATGAAAAGGTTTTCCTTACCTATGAAAAATTTATCAGTTATCATAACCGATGGAGCCCCTGCCAAGGTTGGTAAAAATGGGGGACTCGTTAAAATGGTTAATAATGAAGCCGTTGCTGCTGGCAATTAATGGCATATTATTGTATTGTACATCAGGGCAATTAATGTGGAAAATTTTTTTTAAATGGAAAGTGTATTTAGCATTGTTATAAAAACTGCTAACTTTATAAGAGCAAAAGGACTTAATCATAGACAATTTCTTCTGGTAAAGGGCACTGAATTTGCAGATGCTATTTATTATACAGAAGTGAGATGGCTCGGTAAGGGGAAAATGCTCAAAAGATTTTATGATTTAAGAACTGAAATAAAAATATGTATAGAAACAAAAGGGGAACCTGTGACTGAATTTGAAGACGAAGATTGAGTTTTAGATTTAGCTTTTTTGTAGACTTAACAGAACATTTGAATGATTTAAATTTGAGACTTCAAAGAAAAAAATTAAGTTATTACTAATATTTTCCAAACAATAACAGTGTTTGAAAGAAAGTTAAAATTTTGGCAAAATCAAATAATAATAAAAGATTTGACACATTTCAGTACTTTGGCTGCATATAAACCTGTAATTTGCACAAAATGTGCTGCATTAATTTTTGATTTAATTCAAGAGTTTGAAAGTAGATTTCAAGATTTTCAAAAAAATGAAGAGTATTTCAACATATTTTCTACCCCATTCTCTCTGGAAATTAGTAAATTATCTTCAAATGGAATGCATTGAACTGCAAAGTGACACTCAACTGAAAGAAAAATTTGAAAATGTTTCTTTACAAAAGTTTTATAAAGATTACCTACCTCGTGATAAATATCCTAATTTTCACAATCATGCTTTAATAATATCTTCAGCTTTTGGCAGTACCTATATTTTTTAACAATTATTTTCAAGAATGAAGCATACAAAAAACAAAAATAGGACAAAGATAACTGACAAACATCTTGAAAATGCATTAAACGTTTGAGCGGCCAGGGTTTTCGCTAAGAAAGCGCAAATTTCCCAAAACTACTATGAGAACAAATTATTATTTTTATTTTAATGTAAAAACGCTGCTGTCATTTCATACCTGTATTTGTGTACTTTTGATATATTGCCTTAATTTTTTTGACATATTTTAATATGCACGTATATATACATTCTTACAGATATCACAAAAAATATTCTAGGCCACATATATATATATATATATGGCCTTGCTGCTTAGAGGGTTAAGAATTGCAACCTTGTCTATTGAACCTGATATCGATTTACTTGTTCAGCAAAAGCAAATTCATCCATCTCATTAATTTGAATTGTTTCCATCTTTATGAAATCCAAACTAAATGAAACAAAATTTTTACAAATTAATAATAAATATGTACCTGTATGTATCTAATTCTATATTACCAATCATATGACTACCCCTCATTATGAAGATGTTCACTCTGAAGGTGATAAAACTAAAATTTTTGATCAACTCAAGATGAATTTTAAAAAACTCATGTTTTTCTGTACTCTTTTGTGTATTTAGAACATTCTTAAGGATTGTAATTGATACCATTGGATACTAATAGTAATCAAACTGAATTATTGAGTTTGAGTTATAACATTTTCAAAGTTGCCCTGTTTTAAGAAAATTCAAAATATAAATAAAATTGTTAATAATATTCGTTGTTCTTCTAGATGTTGACTCTTATATAATATCATCACCTAATAGAATTTATCACAAGGAAACCAGGATAGCATTAAATAGTTTTTCCTTGTCCAAAGTAGTTAATAAAATAAAAATTTATTTATATGAAATAAAGAGTATAGAACTGCGTTATGTATTCTTGTGGATAAACTCATAATCTCTAGACTATGCTAAATACTCCATTATTATACAGGTCAGATATATTCACTCTGCTTAATCCTATTTTTTTTTAATTCATTACAGTTGTGATTATTGTTTTACAAAATTTTTCTTGCCATATACATAAATTATCAGAATTTGAGAGTAATTATTTTAGCTTTGTCACTCATTCGATTTTGTCCCTCTTTATATTCACATTTCTTCAGTGTAGAAATTCTCTGTAATTGAAAAAGGCTACATGTAATGGTAAATTAATGTATGTTAAGTTAGTTGAGGAGGGGGGGGAGGATTATGTTCAGATCTTTGCTATTTGATTTTGTTAACATTGATATTTGATAGTGCGGTATTTTGTTCTTGTAAAGTATATGATGAAAGAGATTTATTATTATATGAAACATTAAAATAAAATAAATATTACACATTGAACTGTATCTGTATTGCTTATTGCTCTGTCTTATAGCAAAGAGCGAGTCTGGTTATCAAAAAGAAGAAGCGGGACAAACTGAAGAGTCTGTGGAAGAAAAGTAAGCCGGCTTTTGAAAATCATCCATAAAAAATTTAATCAAAAGATGTAAAAATTACATCTCATATCGAATTTTTGATAATAGTTTTACTATTGACAGTATAAATAATTGGGCTGATGTATTTTATTTATGGGAAAAAAATAAGATATACAGTACCTACCACTTATAAAAATCACTTCCATTCCAAATGCTTGAGTTTATTATGCAGCTGAATTCAAATAAACTGCAATTCATGTACTACGGACTTTGTTATGAGTTTTAAACCTATCTTGTAAAACAATAACTAAGAGCTAATACTAAAATTCAATTATTTGCACAATATTTAAATTCATTTTTTATAATTACATTTTTGATGAAATTTTATCTTTTACAAAAAATTATTCTGTGTATATGCATTTCATATTGTTCATCAACAGTTTTTCAATTTTATTTTCAGTTTTGTAAAATTGCTGATAGCTCTTTAGATCAGCAGCTCTCAGTTCAAGAATTTTTCTTAGAACTTACTGTGCTTTTCTAGATTTGATTAATGAGTGCATGTCATCACTTTTTCATGTATCATTTTTGTAGTCAGTTTTTGCAGTTTGTTAACACAGTTCTCCTTGTATATATAATACATACAATAATCATTTACATAATCATTTTTTATAAATATTGTTTTACTATTGTCATGAACTGACGCATATTCTAAATATGAACCCTCACAACTTCCCTCACTAATGTCTGAAACATTAGCTATAGTTTCTAATTCCTTCAAGGCTTCTTCTACATAAATCCATATTTTCTAAAACAGTTTTTAACAGATTTTAAGAGATTAAACACTTGCACTTACTATAATATGCATGTCTTCTAACTGAGATATTGATTTATCTCCTTCAAAGCACTTGCATTTTCACAAAATTCAATTCTGTTAATCATTAACTGAGCTCTTTTTTTTTTTTTTTTTTTTTTTTTTTTTTTTTTTTTTTTGTAATGAAATTAGAAAGTTTTTATAATCTAAAACTAAAGCTTAAATGGTAGACTATATATTTGCAGAAAGAGCCGCTAATGTTTTCAGAAAGGACTGTGCTGTGCAGTTATCTAATTAGTAAAGCTATTATTTCATTTTTCAGTTTGCTATCCCATTTAAAAAAAAAATTCGGTAAAAATGCAGAGTGTTCACCAAGTTCTTGAAGATCTTTAACAGCTTGTTGCTTCGCAATGGAACAATGTATATCTTTGACACAGGTCACTTTTACAAGCAAAGTTTAAAATTTTTGTGAAAAGTGCCATAAGTTATACAACTTTGGCATGTGACAAAGTGACCTCTGAATGACGGTCCTCCAGCTATAGACAAATTTAATTAATCGAAGTAAACTCTGGCTGTCATTGTTATTTCATTAAAGATAAATAGTTCTAAATTCTTTTTATGTAGCATTCCATGCCAAACATTCACTTTCGGCTGTCTGTCTGCCACTTCCTTGTGGCATGGGGATTTGGGGATCCCCAAACCCTAACATTATGTGTATATTAAACCAAAACAAATTGTTGGAAAAGAAAACTCTGTTGTATGTGTAATAATACCACTAAAATTCATAGTGTTGTGTAGTGAATTTAAATAAAAATTTTTTTTCTAACAAGTGGTATTCTTTTATTTATTATTCTAGGTACTGGGTTTCAACATACAAATGTGCCGTTCCCTTTCGAACCAACTTAGCACTTAACAATTTTTGTTGTGCTGGATTTTTGCATCACTTTTGGCTTGCGCTTATAGTTGAACTTAATTTTGACTTGAGACTGGTGATTGTCATGTGTACTATTGCATATTTATGTGAAAGTTTTCTTCCACATGTCTAGGCTTTTTACTGAAACCCTACTCGTTAGTTAGTTACAGTGACAGGCCTATACAGTGGTCGTATTACTGTGCTTATTTTATACTTATTGTTTGAGGTTGCATACCAGATATGTACTACTGATACACATTTGGACTTTAAAACTATTGTATCCAACACAAACATTTTCACGCAGTACCTTAATTTGTTTAGTTAAGTATTTTCTTTTTGTGCAAAATTTTGTATTGCATTTTACATATTGATTTTGAGGATTACTGTTTCACATTTTTGCAACTGTATGTTTGCAACATAAGGTTAAAAGGCACGCGTGTTAATCACACATTGGGATACATCCCTACTTTTATGTGCTGGCAATTGCTGATTGCAGTTTAAAATGCCAAAGAAAGTGTCAAAACGAGCAGCCAGAGCGGCTAGTAATAGTGCAATAGACTGGGAGGAGAGTCAAGAAGTAATGGCTCTATCAGTTTTTGGTTCTGATCCTCTGGATTCTGTTCCTCTGTTCTCAGGTGCAGACAAGGGAATTAGTCTGAATGACTTCTTAGATAGGATTGATCTCATTGCCACTCATGTGGGTTGGTCAGATGAAGATAAGTTAACAGTGATCAGAGTCAAGGTGGCAGGTGAGGCTGCAGAATTAATTAGGAATAATCCTAGGTTAAAGAAAGAAGCCAGTCTTGACTATGTTGTGAAAGCGTTGAAAGAGAGGTTCAGTTCAGTGCACAATTTGCACTCTAACATCCGTGCTCTTATTCAGGCTTTTCAGAAACCACACGAGTCAGTGCGACAATTTGCAGCACGTATAGAGGCTCTTTCGTACAAAACTGTACCAGTGGAAAGAAGCAGTGACCCTGCAGCAGAAGCACAGAGGACAGGATTTACTTCTGTCAGTGTTTATCGAAGGATTGCAGTTGCATTTGCGACGCTTGTTGCTACCACAGTATCACAAAACTTTTGCATCTGCTAAACAGCATGCTATTATTGAGGAAGACATGTGGGCTAAGAGCCATGCTAGTAGTGATTTTGCAACAGCTGAGGTTAGAGCAGTGAATGCCGCTAAGCCAGCAGTCGAGAAGGCAGTTACAACACCATCAGTAACCAACTCAGAGCTCACTACAGCTATTAAGATGCAGCAGGAAAATATAGCTCAGCTTACAAAAATGATGGGCTCTCTCCAAACACAGGTGCAGAGTTTAATATCACAAGGTACTCGTTCAAGACCCATACAGCCTCGTTGTTACAGATGCAACAGAATAGGGCATGTTAGCAGGGACTGCTATGCGAATATTGTGCCTAATCAGCACTCTAGACAGGGTCAACAGAGATTTCGAAATAACCAAACAGCCAGGAGACATTCTAATAACACCACACCAGCTGTTTCGGGTGCTCCAAATACCACAAGTGTGGCTACAAATGCTTTGAATCCCCAAGCACCAAGTTTTAATTTAAACTAATTCAGGGTGGGAGAAAACCAGTCTCCGTTTCGTCTCCTAAAACCCTTTTGGAGGTGCCATCGGTTTTTACAGTATCCACTAGTGAGGCGTCTTTGCCTATTGTTGAGGGATCTATTTTGGGGAATAAAGTAAAGTTTTTATTGGACTCGGGGGCAACTGTAAACATCATAGAAGCTAAATACATTCAATGTTTTGGAAATAAAATCTCATTGGATTCATGTAACATATATTTAAAGGGTATTGCTGCAGAAAAAGTAAAAATAAATAAGAAAATGAATTTAACAATAGAATTTCAACAACAATATTTTGAAACAGAATTTTTAATTACTGACACACCTCTTTCATCTCAGTATGGTGCTTTATTAGGAACTAAATTTCTTGCAGACCACAATATGCATTTGGATTTCTCCACTTCTCAACTCTTAGGATCAAATGTAATTCTTAAATGGAATCTAAGTCAGCCTAGTGCTATGAATAATAAGGTTTTCTCAACTTCAGTTTCTCAGTCATTTTGTTACTCTGTAACCAAACATAAATTACCACCTTTTTCTGAAAATATCATTAAGCTCACTGCTCGTTCTGTAAATTTCACTACTGATACTGTCTTAATTGAACCTTTAATAGAACATGCTCAAAGTCAATTTTCCATAGCCATAGTCAGTTAATCAGACTTCTTAATCACTTCTTCATCTAACGAATTTTATGTCAAAATTGCAAATTTTTCACCGAATACACTACATCTCAATAAAGGAATGAAATTGGCCAGTGCCCAACCTGTGAATGTCATCACACATAACTCTGAACTTGTAAAAACATACCACCATAGAAACAGGTGAGGATTTCGAGTCTTGGGGTGGTGAATTTGATCTTACACATTTACCTGAGCAGCAACAACAACATTTATCACACACCTTCTCAATCAGTATAGTAACATCTTTGCTGCCTCAGTCACTGAGTTAACAGGGTGTGACACCATCTTACACAACATCAACTTGCGTGATAATATTCCTGTTAGGCAAAAGCCTTACAAAGTACCTTACCATCTCAGGGATGAATTAGATAGACAGGTGGCAGAGCTGCTTGAAGCCAACATCATTCAAGAAAGTGACAGCCCTTACAGTGCTCCTGTTTTATTTGTTAAGAAAGCGGATAACACCTACCGTTTAGTCACTGACTTCCGCAAGTTGAATGAGAAAACGATAGAAGACAGTTTTCCTCTGCCTTCCATGATTGAATTGATAGAACAGTTAGGAGATTCGAATTATTTTTCCACACTTGATTTAACTTCAGGGTTTTTCCAGATGAAAATTCATCCTGATGACACCTTCAAAAGTGGTTTCTCGACTCCTTCTGGGCACTATGAGTGGTTACGAACACCTTTTGGCATGCGAAATGCTCCTAGTTCCTTTCAAAGGTTGATGTCTATAGTTTTGGCCAATCTTTCACCATTAAAAATAGGGATTTACATTGATGATATTGTCATTGCTTCTAAAACTTTTGATGAACATTTGGAAAAATTGAAGTTAGTTTTTGATAGACTAAAACAGCATAATTTAAAACTTAAACCTTCTAAATGTCATTTTCTGAAAGAACAAATTACGTATTTGGGATATAAAGTTACCAAGGGTATTATACAGCCTGATGATAAAAATTTAAAGACCATTCAGAGTTTTATTGCACCTAAAAATAGGAAGGAAAGAAGTTAGGCGATTTTTAGGCCTTAT